CGTGTTTTTTTTCTGATTTTTGTGTGGTTGTCCATCAAACCAGCTGAAAGTTAAGCTTTTAACGGGGGAGACGTCCACTATTGAAATGTGTTTGTGTCTGGTATGCCCCTGTTGAGTTTAAAGGGGATCGATTTCACTCCTGGAAAGTTGTTCTCATCTTTTTCCGGGGGGGGGAGGAAGCAAATGGCTGTCGACCTTTTAGCTTTCCCTTGTTCCAGTTTTAGTCACCATGTTTGGTTCATCATGGGTTGGCTGCTGGGTGAATTATAACGACCTCACACGACTCCACCCCCAAATGGTGGTTTATGTGGGGAATTTCCCCCAACTTATTTCAGGTTGGTGAAATATTATAATTCACCCACATGCTTTGGTTGCATCCCATCCACGTTTCGGGGGAACCGAAACCCCCGAAACATCCACGACTGTTCGGCCTTTAGAAAGGGACACCCTGATGGGTTCCATGTTGGTGGACCAGAAGGAACTTGTTTTCTGGATCCTTTGGGCTGATTAATGAATTTAAGTTGTATTCTCCCTCGGTGTTAAAGGGAATCAATTTCACTACTGGACATACCTGAACCCTCCAAAAGTACTGAAATTTCCGTACATGCGGAAAAAAAGTGTCAATGTACACTTTTGAGGAAATTTGACGGAAATCGCTTTTAGCAGGCTGTGAGCGTTTGTGGTGCACTTGGATGCACATGAACACAGTTTGCAATTTACACGGCCCGTCATACTTAATTCCGTTTCAGGTCTTTCGTCTCCAATTGCTGTGGGGCAATGTGTGACAGCTTCCTTGCCGCTTTTGCGAGTTTGCAGTTTTCTCAGCCAAAATGCAGAAACCGCACATGCACGGAAATCGGCGGGAAATGCACGGAAATCGGCGGGAAAAGTACGGAAATCTGCGGGAAAAGTACGGAAATCAGCGGAACATTTTCTTGAGGAAATGAGCACCTTTTGTCCTTGGTGAATTGCACACCTTCAAATGGTATGAGCATGACAATCTCTAGTGCCATGGCCGGAGCTGAAAGTGAGATTCTTGTAGAAAAAAGGTAGCAAAATGCTCCTGTGTCTTATGTTGAGCCTGCAAGAAAAGTACAGTTTTTGCTCAAATGTATGGATTTCAAGGAAATGCACGGATTTTTGCAGAGAGTCGCAAAAAAAGTGCCCTTGGTTGGTCCAGGTATGTTTTCTCATTTTTCTTAGGGGGCGAACAAGCAAATGAATGGATGTTTCAAAACGGGGACATCACCGCACATGTCTGGGTTGCAATATCCCTTTTTGGTGAGTATTGGTGTCTTTTGTGTTGAATTTCTACTCCTTTTCTTCCATTTGCTTAAGAATATGTTTTATTTTCCCCTGGTTTTAGAGGAAATCTATCACTACTGGAAATATGTTCTCATTTTTTCCAGAGGTCTTCTCCAAATGGAAGTTTTAGGTGGGCCCCCCTGTTTTTCAACCCTGCGACCTTTTTTTTAACACAGGTTGTAGGGTTAAAGACAAAAATGGCGGGGTTTGAAACTAAACAGGGTCGCAGGGTGGAGAAAGAACGAGCCGTCCGTTTTGGGTCGGGTTGCCCTCCGTTTCCTCCCGGACATCCCTGTGCCCGTGCCGGGCCGGCGGGCCGAGGATCGTTCTGCTGGAGGAGCCCCAGGATCCCACCAAAGCTCTGGACGCGGCCGTGCAGAGCGACCAGCTTCAGATCTTGCGGCGCTTGTTGGAAGCTGGGGCCGACGCCCGGCCCGGCAAAGTGCACCACGGTCTTTTTTTTGTTTTGTTTGTTTTTCCCCGGGTTTTGTGTCTTTTTGGGAGAAAACCGGCAAGAACCACGTTTTTTGAGTGTGTGTTTTTTTTGGTGTGTGTGTGTGTGTGTGTTTGTGTGTGTGTGTGTGTTTTTCTCGAAGGGGGCCCGCACACATGGGTATGGGTCAAAACTGAACCACCTGGATATTTTGACCGCAGGCTGTAGTCCACGTTTGCATCTGCCAGGGCAACCCATTTTGGGGGTTCCCTATTTTTTACCACCACAGCATGGTGGTTTACACCTTTTGACCTGCTTTTTTTTCCCACTCTCTTTTGACATGGAGCACGTTCGGGACGCCCTGCCGGGAGTTGTCCTAGTCGGTTTTCCGGTTGAAACACCGAAAGAAAGGGTACCCCCCACCCTTTTCACATGGAACCTGACAGGGAAATGGTCTTTAAAAGGAAAATTTGGTCCAAGCCAAGACCCCCCGAAACGTGAAACGGTTCCGTGTTACTTGGTTGGAGGGCACCCGGTTGTGTCCCTTTTGTTGGAGGGGACTTGCGAAAAATGGCGGCCTTTTTTTGGGTTTCCCTTTCAAGCCCACGAAAAAAGGGGGTACGCCCCAAAAAAGACACACCCATTTGCTTGAACAAGGTATACCCAAAAAGTCACCTGGTACGCGTAAAGGTAGCTTTTTAATATTTGTTTTCCAAAGTGTGTCCTTATTGGGAACCCTGTTGAAGCAAGGTCCTAGACTCTCTGACCCTGTAAAAGTGGTTGGTCATGTCCCGAATCTTTCTTTTCCGCAATGACCAACCATGTTTACGGGGTCAGATTCGGAGACTCCAGGTACCTTTGAACTGAAAGAACAACAGAAAGGCCGTTTTTTGTTTTTTGTCTCCATGGCCACTGGGCCTTCGAGGACAAAGACGTGCTGGACATGAATTATTTCACGCCCATGCATACTGCGGCCATGTCTCTTGACTGCTATTGGGTTGGATCTTTAGACTTTAGCTTTTTTGTTGAAATCAAGTTGCGTGTTCCACTAAACCCCAAAAAAGTGAGAAACTTTTTGCAGGGGGTCAACAGCAACCAAGGTCTGGTCATGAAGAGATCGTGCGGTGTTTGCTGGCGGCAGGTGCTGCACCAGATAAGTCTGACAGATTTGGAAACAGACCGTTGCACGGTGCTGCGTATTATGGTCATCCAGAACTGGCGCGTTTGTTGCTGGAGGCTGGGGCTGACAAGGACAGTAGCAACAATCATGGACGAACACCCATGCACAATGCCGCAATGAATGGCCATGAGAAGGTGGTGCGTGTGTTGCTGGAAGCTGGCGCTGACAAAGAGAAGGCCGACATGAGGAGAACCACGCCCATGCAGAGTGCTAGACAGAGGGGCCATAAAGAGGTCGTGCGTTGCTTGCAAGACGCCGGCAAGGCGGGCTACGCTAGCTGATGGACAGACACCTGAAATGTACAGGGCGAGCGTGTACCCCAGAAGCGAATGGCCGGAGACGGTCGAGGACCTTTCTTTTAGGTTGAAAGTGGTGATACTGTGGATGGACGAAATCCTGCACCACCTAAGAAACCCTGGAAGGATTTGCTTCCCCAACGTAAATACCAACAAAGAATGGTTTCAACCATGGTGTCCAAGTAGTGCGAAATGGCTTTTGCAACCATCCACATGGACAGATTCTGTTGGCCCAGTGTGGGCACACGTGTTCTCTCACTTCCCTGAGCTGAGCGTGAAGACCTTGCCAAATTAAGGCTTGGATCTCTGAAGCCAAGCACTCAAGTGAGCTATAGGCCAAGGCTGAATCCTTCCCCTGAATTAGCTCCCCTTTTTATGTTGTTTTGCTTTTTTGGGGTTCCCTTTGTTTTCCACTACCAGGCAAAAAACACATCTTTTTGGCTGGGGTCCCAATTCCAGCCAAGAATCTAATTAGGCCACGAGACTGGCCGTCCTTGAGTCAAGGATCCGATCGAAAACGCCGAGCCGAAAAAGACCTCGGCCCCTTGCCGCGCAGAGCGCAAATGGAAGACACACCATGTACGCCACAATCCAAACCCGGGTAGATGAAGGCTATCAAGGGGCAGTCCCAACCGTTGCCGGTGGTGTTTTAACCCAGAGGCTCCGATGTATTTAGGGCCCTCAAACAGCCAGGTTTTGAGACCCCCAAACACTTCCGGGTGTCTAATGGGGGGGTCGGGTCTTTCATTGAAAGCCCGAGGAACCTCTGGGTAGTAGCAAAAAAGGTGGGTCTGTTTCAATTGCTCCCGTTCTTCGTCGGTTTTCTCCGAATAGCCATACTGCCGGTGGACAAATTCTGCACCAGTTCATGGGTGATTTGACCGACCATTAGGGTTGCATCCATCCCAACTGGTGTCCATCCACAGTATGCATGACTAAGCAACAGGTGCATCGAGCATTGCCCACCAACACGAAATGGGTGTGGCTTTTTTAGTGGAGCCCCCTAAATGGGTGCTTTCCTTTTGATTTTCCTTGAAAGCCAACCAAAAGGAGGTACCCACCCAAATGGTTCCAGTGCTCCGGGCATTTGTTGCGACCGGCGGGATAGCGAGAGAGATCGCGTGATTGGAGTTCACGCAACCGATCCGAAGACCTTTCAACTGATGACTTGTTTTTGTCTCAGATTTAATACGTGTACTAAACAGTGGCCAGAATATACCCGGAGTCTTCTGAGCCTTAAACAATGGTTGGTCACTCCCCAAAAGAAAGATTCGGGTCATGGCCGCATGTTTGAAGGGTCATGGAGACTCTTGACAGAATCCAAGGGCAAAGGGGGTTGTGGGAGTGTCTACGTTTGTGATCCTGAAATGAAGTAAACCCCGATGACTTGTTCGCTTACCCTCCCACCAACCGACATGGAAGTGACAGGAACACTTCTTTCCCACGGAAATCTTCTGAAAGGGGCCATGGCACTTCCATGTTAGGTTTCCCTTCAAAGCCCCAAAACCAGTCCTGCCGGGACCCGGACCTTTGGCAATGGATCCCAAAAAAGGTTCCTTCCTGGAGTCTCCGAATCTGACCCTTGAAAAATGGGCCGGGTCATTACCCAAATGTTTCAGGGGTCATGGACCATGGACTTTTTTTTTTTTTTTACTTTTTTTTTTTTTTTTTTTTTTTTTTTCGGTCAGAAGGAGACTCTAGGTTCACCTTTATGTGCCGTTTCTTCGGGCCCGAGTACCAACTCAAGTCGACGCCGCTGGACCCCATGGGTCATTTCTCCTTCGAGGCTTCACCTTCGGGAAAAATGGCGAGAGCCGCTGGTGGAGGAAGCGAAACACCGGCTTCCCATCTCGGATGACGGGATCTCGGTGCATGTTGGTTTCCTTCTAAACGCTTAGTTTGGGCAAAGAAAAACATGGGTTCTACTGGTTCACCCAAGCTCGAACATGTTTTCCCGTTTTATAGCTTCTTTTGTGTACATGTCGCGTCCCAAACGGCAACCCGTTCCATTTTTCGGGTCCAGCCTTACAAGACGAGCCACTCATTCCAGGTTAGCCCAGTGATTCCATTTCCCGTTTCCCTGATTTTGTAGGTCACCCTTGTTGAACCACCCGGTATAGATTGCAAGAGGAAACTTGACTGCTAGTGGGTTGGATCTTTAGACTTGAACTTTTTGGTTGAAATCAAGTTGAGTTTGGTTGAGTTCAAAAAGTGAGAAGCTTTGTGCAGGGGGTCAACAGCAACCAAGGAAAAAGATGGTTGCCACAAATATGGGTGCGAAACGCCTGGGATCCATTGAGGTAAGGTTCACTACTGGAGCCTCCTTGACCCTTAAATATGTTTTCCCCATTTAACCCGAATCTTTCTTTTGAGTAAAGCCCCCTTTTTCAAAGGGTCATGGAGACTCCAGGTAAAAACTCCATCCTTAAAACCGGCCCCCTGCCTGGAGTCTCCATGACCGTTTTAACAATGGTTGGTCATAACCCCAAATCTTTCTTTTGGGTCATTTGAAGCCCCATTGTTCAAGAGTCAGACTCGGAGACTCCAGGTCCATGGACCAGACTCAAAACCATACTATTCTTCATGATGTTGTTGTGTGGAAACATTTCGGTGTGGCTCAAAATTAAAGAGCCAGTGTTACGCAGATTTTAGTCTTTGCATCCATTACCAAGGTGCCACTTCGGATACACTTTTTTGAGCCACAGCCATTTTACATGTTTGCTTACTGTGGTTGAGTATGAAATCCAACCACTTAACTGCTAAGATTTGATTTTTATTTTTGCTCCCCTACCCCAGCGTCAACCAAGTGTTGGGGGCCGAAAGCTGAAGATGTGATCCCCGTTTCATGGAAATGCCGGGCCATTTTGGCCGGCGGCCGGGATCCACTGGTTCTGGTTCTTATTTGCCAATATGTTTTGTTCCAGAAGGACACCAAAGGAAGCTGACGCGCAATATTGATCCGACACAAAGCGCCTAGACTTGTTTTTCTGACTCAGTAAAAGTGGTTGGTCATGACCCCAAATCCCAAAACCATGCTTCAAGAATTACCTAGAGTCTCCTTATGACCCTTTAAAAATGGGCCCAGTTGACCCCTTTCTTTTGGGTAGTGACCAATTTCAAGGATCAGATTCGGAGACTCCAGGTAACACTGAGATACTGTGCCTGCTTCGGTTGTCGATTGACCTCAAGCCACAAAGGACTGAGCCCATTCTCTCTGGCGCATTTTTTTCTGCTGTGGATGAAATCTGTTCGCATCGCCTTGAAACCATGGTTGAACCCAGAACCTTGGTTGGTATTTAATGTTGACCCAGGATTAATAAACGTCCATGTTTTTGTTTGGGGTGCCTGGAAGTCTCCATGTTTTGTTTGGAGTCTCCATGTTGTTTGTTTGGGGGTGCCTGAAATGTCCATGTTTTTGTTCGGGGTGTATGAAATGTCCATGTTTTTGTTTGGGGTACATGAAGGCTCCATGTTTTTTTTTGGAGGGTGCCTGAAGTCTCCATGGTTTTGTGTGGGTGCCTGAAATCTCCATGTTGTTTTTTGGGTGCCTGAAGTCTCCAATTCTGCCCCTAACAAAAAATGGATGGGCTTTTCCCAAAAGAAAGATTCGGGTTATGACCCCATCTTTATGCAAGTGGTCATGGAGAGTCTGGGTGGACATATTTGTGGCCCTGTGGATGGAAAGGCGGAATCCAGAAACCACACCACCAAAATCATGGTTTGGATTCCCCTGTAATGTTAACCCCGGATTCATAAACCTCAGGTTGATTAATAGGGAGGCACCCCAAACAAGAAACATGGTGACTTCAGGCACCCCAAACAAAACCATGGAGACTTCCAGGCACCCCAAACAAAAACCATGGAGACTTCACGCGCCCCAAACAAAACCATGGAGACTTCACGCACCCAAACAAAACCATGGCGATGGCGACTTCACGCACCCAAACAAAACCATGGAGACTTCCAGGCACCCCAAACAAACACATGGAGACTTCCAGGCGCCCAAACAAACCCATGGAGACTTCCAGGCACTCCACTTCCAGGCACCCCAAACAAAAGCATGGAGACTTCCAGGCACCCACACAAAACCATGGAGACTTCACGCACCCAAACAAAACCATGGAGACTTCCAGGCATCCCAAACAAAAACCAAGGGGGACACCAACGAGCCTTTGGTGCATTTTGCTTGGATGTTAGGGCTTTAACTTTTTTTCCAACAAAGAGGGGTTTTCCGTATTAAACCACTCAAAGTGAGTCACTTTTAGCAGGGGAGCAGAAAGCCACCAGACTTCAGTCACCCCAAAAAAGGAGACTTCAGGCAGCCAAAAAGAAGAATATGGGGGCAAGCAACGAACCGAAGTTGCGCGGAAACCGAGAGGAGCTGATCTTCCACCCCCTCACCCCCTGGAGTAGCCGCACGCTACCGGTGCCCGTGCGCTTTGAGGCGGGCTCACTAGGATGGGCCGATGGGCCGAGGGACGCGGTTCGATCGGGGAGCTTCTTTTTTTTTTCTGGGCGCCCAGGGAATCACCCGGTTCAACTTAGCTTTTTTCCTAGACTCTCCTGTGGGGTCATTTTTCGTAACCCCACTTTTCAAGGGTCAGATTCGGAGACTGCAGGTGAATCCTTTTAGCGGGAAACCAGTGCTTTTTTTGTTTCTTCTTTTTTTTTTTCTCCGAATTTAACCCACTAAAAGTGTTCGTCACTTTTCGGCACTGGGATTAGTCGCAGTCCAGATTTGGGTGGGGGAGCCAACCCGGAGCTGTTTGGGAAGATGCCTACGTCTCCCAGGTTTGAAGTGTGGAGACTTCCTAGGTCCCTCATATACCCCTTTTTTGGTTGGGAGGGTTCCCCTACAAAAATAGACTACAGAAAAAAGGGCACCCTCATTCTAACCTCGCTACTGGAGGACCTAGCTTCAGGTATCCAGAGATTTGATGGCGGGAGTGGTGACATTTGAAGGGGCCTTGAATCCAGAGCTGGAGGCTATAGGGACGCACACGACATGTCGAGGGTTTAGCACTGCCCCCGTGACCTCCCTGACCCAACTGCGGCCACCAGCGTACAGACGCAGACTTCTCGCATGCGTCTGACGATTTTAGATGAGCTCACCATGACAAAGGTCCTTTACCGGGGATCCCTTACTTCAGCCTTTGAAGTTGTAGCAACAATTGCAGATAGGTATCCTGCTTATGCAAGTTAGTTGAGAAAAAAGGGCCCTGGCAGGCACTGGTTTTAATGATCTACCAGGGCCATCTATTTTCCATAAGGACACCCGTGGCTTTGCGGGAAAGATTCGGATAGCCCCAGTACAGGAGTGAATTACGTCGTTCATCTGCAAGTCTTAGTATGCCCTTGGTGGCTCCCAGCCTTAGCTTCTGTTTTTTTAGGGTTTAGTGGTAGTTTCCATTTAACCCACAACAAGTTAGACTTGTAGAGGGGATCCCTCATGAATTTGAATGTCAAAGCGATTAGCAGCGAAGTCCGGCTTCAGATTTTGATGTTTGCTCAACGAGTTCCTTCATTCATTCGAGACACAGCGCTCAAGATGTTTCTGTGCTTTACCGGCCAGCGAAAAAGAGGTGCACGAAAAAGAAGCCTCGCTCCATCGCTGCGGCAGAGTGGGAGAGAAAGTTCCATCGCGCAGAGTGATGGCTGGTTGCCCAGATCATCGGCACTTTACCTTCTTCCTACCGTGAGCCATGTATCGGCTGATCTTGGCTGTCTTGACTTCTGCATATGCAGAGGATTGTGTTGCCCCCTTAACGGCAACCGCCTCCTCCCTGCTGCAGAACTTACATGTGGCACAGGCTGAAACGCTGCGTGTGCAGCTCAAGTTGAGCATGTCGCGAGAGATGCAGAGTTCCGGATTCTTGTCCATCCTCGTCTCCTCCTTGAAACCCAGTTGCCCAGTGGTGCCCTTTTGTTTGTTTCCTGTTATTTTGGGGAAGGGTTTCCCTTTAAAGTGAACTCAAAGCCCGGGTAGATGATCTGGTTAGAAAGGGACAATCCCCTTGCCATAAATAGCTGCGGATATCCGCCTTTTTAATTCTTTACATGGTTCTGGAATTACGACCATGTGAATGCCGGGTTTTGATTGTGACTCACATGGAACCCCGAAATGCAAGCCTTGGTTTCATTTACAAGCCTCAATTCTTTCTACCTAGAGTCTCCATGACCCTTTAAAAATGGGGTCATTACCCAAAATAATGGGGTCATGGACCCATTTTTAAAGGGTCATGGAGACTCTAGGTATGGTTCTGGGTAGACCATCTTGCCGGGTTTTGCTTATGGTTCATTTGAGGAAAGCCATCGGTGTTGCCGCCTCCGTCATCGCCGTGGGAGTTCTGGCCACGCGCCGTGGCATCATTAACCTCACGGTGCGAAAGGCCATGGGAGACTCAGTTGCCAGCGAATACCGCCTGTGGAGCTTTCGGTTTTTCCCTTGTGGTCCATTTTTTACAGGCTCATGGAGAGTCTAGGCAGCCGGTGTTTGTTTTTTGTTGTTCGGTTTTCATGTTTAGCCCAAAAGTGTGACCTTTTTATTTTGAGGGTCCCGATGTTTATTTTTACAGGGTCATGGAGAGTCTAGGTAGCCTGTTTTTGTTTTTTGGTTGTTCGGTTTTCATGTTTAGCCCAAAAGTGTGACCTTTTTATTTTGAGGGTCCCGATTTTGATTTTTACAGGGTCATGGAGAGTCTAGGTAGCCTGTTTTTGTTTTTGGTTGTTCGGTTTTCATGTTTAGCCCAACAGTGTGACCTTTTTATTTTGAGGGTCCCGATTTTTATTTTTACAGGGTCATGGAGAGTCTAGGTAGCCTGTTTTTGTTTTTTGTTGTTCGGTTTTCATGTTTAGCCCAAAAGTGTGACCTTTTTTATTTTGAGGGTCCCGATGTTTATGTTTACAGGGTCATGGAGAGTCTAGGTAGCCTGTTGTTGTTTTTTGTTGTTCGGTTTTCATGTTTAGCCCAAAAGTGTGACCTTTTTTATTTTGAGGGTCCCGATTTTTATTTTTGCAGGGTCATGGAGAGTCTAGGTAGCCTGTTTTTGTTTTTTGTTGTTCGGTTTTCATGTTTAGCCCAACAGTGTGACCTTTATAATTATTTTGAGGGTCCCGATTTTTATTTTTACAGGGTCATGGAGAGTCTAGGTAGCCTGTTTTTGTTTTTTGTTGTTCGGTTTTCATGTTTAGCCCAAAAGTGTGACCTTTTTTATTTTGAGGGTCCCGATGTTTATGTTTACAGGGTCATGGAGAGTCTAGGTAGCCTGTTGTTGTTTTTTGTTGTTCGGTTTTCATGTTTAGCCCAAAAGTGTGACCTTTTTTATTTTGAGGGTCCCGATTTTTATTTTTGCAGGGTCATGGAGAGTCTAGGTAGCCTGTTTTTGTTTTTTGTTGTTCGGTTTTCATGTTTAGCCCAACAGTGTGACCTTTATAATTATTTTGAGGGTCCCGATTTTTATTTTTACAGGGTCATGGAGAGTCTAGGTAGCCTGTTTTTGTTTTTTGTTGTTCGGTTTTCATGTTTAGCCCAAAAGTGTGACCTTTTTATTTTGAGGGTCCCATTTTTTTTGTTTACAGGGTCATGGAGAGTTTAGGTGCGTGTTTTTGTTGTTTGTTGTTCGGGTCATGGAGACTCTAGGCAGTTCTCTAGGGGTTGATTCCTTGTCCATTCTTTTCAACCATCCTTCTTTTCAAAAACTGATCGCTGTTTCCCCACGGTCTTGGGTGTTTTCTTAAAGAAAGAAGGATGCCTGGAAAGAATGGGGAAGGTACCCCCTAGAGTTCTCCCTTGTGGTGCAGTTTGTAGCCCAACAGTGTAACTTTTATTTTCAAGGTTTCAAAAGGTGAACCTTTTATTTCTGGGTCCCAAAAGTTTAAGTTTTAATTTCTGGGTCCTTGGGGGCAACTGAGGAGAGATCACGATGAAGCTGGCGATTCCAGCACTTTTGTTCTCACGGATTCTGTACTGCGACCAGTGCAACACTGGTGGAAATCAGTGTGCGCCGTGCCAACCCTTCATGAGCATCATCCTTTCAAGTTGGATTCTGTTTCTTCTACCCATCGTTGTGGTGGGGCTGGGCGTATTGCTGGGAAAGGCAACAGCTATGCTCACCTGTGCGCCGAAGGATTTTGCCAGTGGCACCATCTGCGCCGTGGCTTTTGGGAATTCGACCGGCTTGCCCATTGTGCTGCTATCAGTAATCTCTTTGCACACTTCTGGTGCGTCGAGCATGGGCAACATGGACCCATTGCTGCGTCTTCCGGTCTATTTGCTCCTAGCCATCTTTGGCGGCGATTGTGTTAAGTTAGTGCCTTTTGCAGCCCGAACATATCTACCTGGAGTCTCCTTCTGACCCTTGAAAAGTGGTTGGTCATTACCCAAAGGAAGGATTCGGGTCATGACTCCACCTTTAAAGGGATGGAGAGTCTAGGTACCCGCCCAGCAAAACTCATACAACCTATTTCATGAAGCCACCGGCATCGTACTTCCAGATAAGTTTCCCGATGGGAATTCCACGGCCGAGGATGCTTTACCCCGTGCTTCAATGGGGCGTTGGTCGCTACCTTCTACGTGATGAATCTGAAGATCCCGACCAGCCAAAAGAGGCATGCAGCTGTTGGACCGTGCTTGAACAGGCGCGACAAACATCGCACTTTTCCCGTTGGCCTGAAACATGCACCCTACTTGTTTATCACTGCTTGGTTGGATCTTTGGACTTTAACTTTTTGGGAAAGTGATGTGTTTCATTGAGCCGGGGTCATTGCAGCAACCAAGCACTTGGCGGATCAAGGCGTCTAAGTCAGCCCTATTCGACCCATTCTTGCTCAGAGGCATTGGTGCCACCTGTGCTTGCCGCGCTCCTGGGCTTGGCGGTCGGGCTCTCTCCAATTCGGGCGTGGATGGTGGACGTTTTGGACCAGGACCGTGTCAAAGAGTTCTTTGGCTCTCGAGGTTTCTCCCTGAGGCTACGAGTCAGAAATCAGCACGTGTGTCATGGCTTCAGTAGTATTTGTTGAGAACTGTTGCGTTTGCGATTTGGGCCTCATACCAAACCCTAGACTCTAGAAACAGTTTGGACGCGCTTTTTGTGGAATTCAGCTGTTCTCCCCCTGTCGGTCCTTGTTTTGTAACCTTTAGTACTCTTTTGATATTCAGCAATCGATCCGCAAATTTGCCACATCCAAACCGTTTGCTCGAAAACATAGGCCCAATGGCTTTGACGGCTGTGCAAAGCTGCTAGGACAACGACGCCCCTTTGTCGTGGCTCTACGACGGAATCTACAAGCTGGGTGATGCCGCGGTGCCGCTGAACTTGCTGATCCTGGGGAGCGCGTTGTCCAAGGGCGCAAACTTTGAGGTGTGCATTTTGGAGAACACTACAAACAAAAATGAGCCCGAACTTCCATTTGCTGAACACGATGTGTAATTTTCCCCTGTGGGTT